TTTTTTTTCTCAAATGTCATTGGCTTTTAGCTTGTTGTTCCAGAGAAGAGCTGTAGATTTCTTCCCTGTGTGGCATTTGCAACTTAATTTGCAGCTCCTTGATACAGTATTACCAAAAGAACTTCCTAGCTGTAATTCCCCGCCCTTGTTTGGTCTGTGGTATTTTAGAGAGTCCTGATCGGTGTCTGTGGTACCGCTTACAGGAATTGGCAAAATCTGTGGGGTCTGGTGTGTCTTCGTGGCAAACGATGCCACTGTGAAAGGAGGAACTATTTATCCAATTGGAGTGAAGAAACAACTGAGAGCTCAAGAAATAGCCATGCAGAACAGGCTGTTATCCGTGTACCTCGTTGACAGCGGGGGAGCGTTCCTGCCGCTGCAGGTAATGTTGGAACAGCTCCACAGAAGAAAATGCCTAGGTTTATCTCAATCGTATTAATTTTTAGCAGTAAACTTCAGATTTATGTTGTGTTTTCTTGGCTGGCTGAGTTTTGTTGTCTGTTATGCTTGAATTAAGTATCGTCCACAAGTCGGGGTCCGGGAGGTTATTTGAAGATCTGTAGCAGCGGCGATCCCTTTGGCTAGTGTTGCCTCTAGCATCTAATCAGAGTTTAGAAACTTGGGTGTCAGTGGGGAGACAGGGTGCTGACCAAGCGTGGGTATTCCTCAGTGTGCTGAAATGCTTGTGTGTCTTTAATAAATCAATACAATTACTCTGTTTTATTGTAATGTTTGTGATAGTAATGCAGTAACCTCCATGGCTTTTAAAAATGTAGTTTTTTAAATTCTTACTGTAAAAGGAGAATCTGCACAGGTTGCATTCCAGTGTACAGTGGTTATATTATCACAGAGACTGTAGCTGTTCCCCCTCCAGACTGAAAGCAAACACACAGAAAAAGTTTCTACCTGACTTGAGGAACTGTATCAAAAACTAAGTAGAAAGGGAGCCTGTGCTGAAGTCATTTCACAGATGAAGTATGAATGTGAGCTTCCCCTTCACCATGTTTACAGTCTCAGTTTGTATAGAATAAATTGGTTTCACCAAAAACTATGAAACTTACCTCTGCTTTTGAAACACATGGGTTTTGTCAAATGTATAGGGGGAATAAATACTGTTGTGCATGCTGTATGTGGAAGCTTCAGGTGTGATTGTTAGTGGTGACCTTCCCAGGGTCGGTCACGATGAGTCTGTGAATGAATGGAGCGAAGAGGAAGCGAAGGCTTTTGTAGTTAATACTGAAACTCACTTTTGTCTTTTCTCTGCAATGGCAGTCAGAGCTGTTTCCTGACAAGTCGCACGGTGGCAGAATTTTCTACAATGAAGCAATCATGTCTGCCATGAGAATCCCTCAGGTACGCTGTCATTTGGAGTGCGAAGGAGTGTGATATATGGCATCAGTAGAGTTCTGAAAAACGTTTTGTTCTAATACAGGTTCTAGGAACAACTCTGAAACATGCAAAACAATTCCTAAAGCTTACCTCTTCTGTTTGTGGGGAAAGGAGATTGAAGTAGTATCTTGCATGACAGAATACTTGTGCCTTAAGGATCTTCTAAGTGTTCACCAGCTGATCGTGATGGAAAAGCATCACATCCCTAGGTTATTTCCGAGTAAACATTGAACTCTCTCCAAAATGGCATTGCTGTTCATGCTGGTGTTTGTATCTCTAGTTCATTGTTCCCCAAGCCACAGCTGAGTCCCCTGAACATTTCTGAAATGAAGCTGGTGGTTTTGCCTTTGCATTCTCCTGTCCTCAGCGTCTTGGTTTGGTTTCTGTGTCCTTCAGGTGGCAGTGGTGTGCGGCTCCTGTGTGGCTGGAGGTGCCTATGTTCCCACCATGGCAGAGGAAGCTGTCATTATAGATAAAATCGGTACTCTCTTCCTTGGTGGCCCACCTCTGGAAAAAGCTGCTACAGGGGAATATGTCTCTCCCGAGGACCTAGGAGGAGCCAGACTTCACTCTGAGTATGTGAAATAGTTCTCAAAAACAGTAGAGTATGCAGCATACTTAGCTTTAAAGAAACTGTCATTCTATCTTAAATTAATATGACTGAAGCTACTCCGGTAACAGGATATGATACGGTCCTCAAGGACTGAAAAACGTGCAGTGAAAAAAAGCAGTGGAAATGATACCTGAATTATTGTAAGGTTGATGGTATTCAGTTATATACGTGGGAGTAGGATGGGGCTAGATATAACTCTTTGAAATGAAAAAAGTAACATGGCATTGTAATTTCAGCCACGCTGCGTTCCACAGGAACTTTCCACTTCCACCGGGTGTCTATATATATGTGTATACACGCACACTCCGACTGATTCGTGTTGCTCTCTCTCCTAGAGTCAGTGGCTGTAGTGACCATTTTGCCTCTTCAGAAAAGGAAGCCTATGAATGTATTCGAAATATTATCTCCACGTTAAATTACGATCCTCTGCCAGAGGAGGTCGTAGAGCACGACAGTCCTCTCTATAGTTCTGATGAGCTCTTGGGGCTGGCACCGCAGGATTGTAGGTGTACGCTTCCGGTAAAGTTGGTAAGGTGATGGATGCTGTCTGTATTCCTTCGTCCTTCCGGTCTGCTCTATCGGTAGCTCCAGACTAACAGGCAAGAGGCTGTTCTCGCTTGGAGAATTCCTGAAGTACCTGAGTTATTCTGTGTTGTTACCTAATCAGTTGCCAAACTGTCTTGAGTCTGCAGCAAAGCCGAATGGCAACAATTCTGCAGCGTTATAGAAAATATTTAAACTGAAATCCTGCTAGAGTGAATTGCAAGTGATGCCAGCTGATCCCCGTCTGTTCCCCTGCACTGTTTGAGATGCTGTTATGTCGGTTTGTCTCGTACTGTGTTAGCTGCCTTGGGAATGCGCACCCCTTTAGCGTCCTGCTTTCCCCTCCCCCTGCCTTTTTTTATTTTGCTCCCCAAATAGTCAAGACTCGACCTTGTAACTTCAATGCCTAATGAAAATGCTGACTGAAAAAACAACGAAGCTCAAATTAAACAGGTGTGAGGCTGGGGCAGACGCTAATACATAAGCAGAAATGCAGAGCTGCTCATGCTGTTTCAATCGTGTTAGAATCAGAGAATCACAGAATGGTGTGGGTCGGAAGGGACCTTTAGAGGCCATCTAGCCCAGCCCCCCCAGTGAGCAGGGACATCTTCAACTGGGTCAGGCTGCTAGATCATCTTTGACTGGATCGGGGTTGTCCTAGAAGAGAATTAATCTCCAAGGATGTGAATCCAGCATCTTTTCCAGGGGTAGATTCCTACGGTTAAGGGGATTGACTGTAGAAAGCAGCGTAGCGTTGAGGGCAGCTTTTAAACTGCATTTGAAAAAAGCACGAGCGATATGCTGAGGAGTGTTTGTTATGCACACAAGCTGTAACTGCTCACGCTGGGTTTTTAACAGCGTTTTTATGCACATGAACAACTGTTCTCTGTGACACTGAAATAATTTTGGAGTTGAACTTTGGCTCCGAATACGTGGTGGGTAATCAAATGTAAACACAAATTTGATGTTTTGGGCGTACTGAGTATTTAGCAGAGCGTAAGACATGAAAGGGCCTTCTGTGCTCGTTTGGGTTGACTTCTTGCATGAATTATACAGGTCTCTTGCTATTTGAACAGAGCATATCTTAGCAGAACTGTTCTATTTTCACTGAATTTTCTGTAGTAAAGACTATATATTTCTTTGCAGATTCTGAGCCGTCTGATGGATGGAAGCAGATTCCAGGAATTCAAGGCTAATTATGGAACAACACTAGTAACAGGATTTGGCCATGTGCAAGGGTAACCCTATAACATTTCTCTATCAAAATGTATGGACATATTTGTCTAAATAGCTTTCATATCATTATCAGGTTTTACAACATCCCATTAACAGTGTCACTCAAGAATTGGTAATAATGTGCTTCTAGAAAGCCTGATCTCCTGCTCTGGCTCTGAATTCATCGTGTCTTGGGCCAGTAGCAGCAGGAGTGGTTACAAATGAACGGTTTTTGTGACTTTCCAAAATGATTTGTTGGTTCACAAAAACTGCTGGCCAGACAGTCGAAACATTGAAGTCTCTGCAGATTCCTTAAGAAGTAAGGAAGAGCATCTTTAAAAGTGTTCCTTCCCAAATGGAGTTGAAAGCTATTATCCCTTCTCCCATGTGATGGAGATGGGATAATACCTGTACAGTAAAACCTTGCATAATTCAGGTCAGACTGTATTATTAACACATTCATGAAGCGTACAACATTCCAGCCAAATCATAGTAGGGAATAAAAAATGTAGTAAAATAGATTTTTTTGAGTCTCTTAAGGTTGAAGGTATAAACTTTTCAGGCAGACTGTTAGGTTGTATGTTACAGGAATTAGAGCCCAGAGTCCTGGCACCTTGCACGTTGTCTTGCAGTGTAAACTCTGACAGGTCATCGATAGCTTTACCTGCCCTCGGGGCATTCATCCCTCTGAATACTTCCATGCTTTACATACCAGGAGTGCTGTGAGGCTTCTTGTTTGTTAGGCTCCTTGAGTGAAATGACACGTGTAACTGCATCCTTTTACATTCTGAATTTCTGTAAAGGGCAGGTCTTCTGTGTGTCTGTGTACAGAAATCTATGTTTCCACCCTTCAGAACCTTAGGAGCTACAGTTCCATAATTTCTGGGGTTCGAAAGCGAAAATGTTCACGTGTCTGTTTTGCAGGCGCCTGGTGGGGATAGTGGCTAACAACGGGGAGCTGTCTCATGATGCTTCCCTCAAGGGTAGCCATTTCGTACAGCTGTGCAGCCAGCGGAGCATTCCCATCCTCTTTTTCCAGAACACTGCTCCGCATACAGCAGGGCCAGCAAACATCTCGCAGGTATGGCATTTGTAGTTCAATATGCTTCACTCGGGCAATTGCGAGTTCTTGTTTTGTTTGAGATTGCTTTCTGAAAATTGTGGTTAGGAAAATTATTTTTTTTTAAACCACTCTTGCTGGTTTAAGCCAAGAAGCTTCATAATTACTTTGTTCTGAAATCGTTCCATTAGCATTCTCACTTTAATTTTAAGCAGGCCTCTGTGCTTATCTAAAATGGTGCCGTCCAGCTGGCGTGCAAGCTGTAGAACTTGGAATTTGTAGTGCTTTTTACATTGAAATACAGCCTGTCGAGTCTGCTGATACCACTCTGCTCCACGGAGGAATAGATATTTCTCATTTAGAAAAGTGAAGGCATTGAAGTACGGCATGGTTTGTCCTGGGCTGCAGAGAGCCTCATAATAAAACCTGCCTTAGGTTCTGTGATCTGTTTCTGCAGCCCTGTTCCTCCCAGCTGCCACCAGCGCTTGAGACAAAGCCTGGTTTCTCTCTGTCGTACTTTGCTCATGCCTGGCAGAGCTCGGGTTGCTCCGTAGCACAGGTTTGGGCGCACTGGTTATAGTGGTTTCGCTGATTTGCATTGTAAAGGAAGTGCATAGTGGGCTATGGTAGTTAGTGGTGCTGTCTTACTGTTTGGGAAGAAATGATCATACAGAGTTGTAAAGAAAGAAATGCTTTAGAAATACATTCCAAGCTTGGTGAGAGTGGAGGGAATCTGTAAGATAAAGACTTAAATGATCTAAAAATCTTAATTTTCATTTCAGGCAGAGGCTCACTCCAACAGATTAAAAGCCCAGGCCTCCATGATGGCTGCTGTTGCTTGTGCTGCTGTTCCCAAAATAACCATTGTAATCGGTGGCTGTTATGGGAGCGAAAGTTACGTTATGGTATGGGTAGCACAGACGTTGTTGGGTCTGGTAACAGGCTGGTTTACACTTTACCAAGATTGCACAGCACTTCGTCTTTAAAACACAGTTGGCTGTTGTTACAGACATTTGACTGGGTTTGTTATTTTTAACTACTTGTAAGGTAACAAACACATCACAAAATGTGATTACAGAAAATTCAGTCTGCATCTAAGAAGCTGGAGCCAGTTCTAGAGAACCAGGTTATCTGAAAATGTCCCTCTTGGGAGCCAGCCCTGCCTTTTTCTCAGCACATGCTGTTTGTTTTCAGTGATCAAGGAGCATGTCTCCTTTAGCTGTGCTACTGCGTGTGCTGTTCACACTGCTGGTAAGTGCAGTAGGGCCTTTTATTCAGAATTAAACATGTAAGTGCTTGGAGGAAAAATGAACCGATATAATAGCGACAGGGAAGGCACTGGGGGCTTTGATGGTCGCTGCCGCAGGGTGGCTGTACTGATACAGCAGCTGTAGCTGCGATGATAGAGGAGCATGTCATTAATGCTTTACAAATTAAACAGTGTTACATCCTGCCTTGAACTTGACTGTCTCGTCCTACAGCCATCTTTTTGTGATTAATCGCAATGCGTTTGTGCTGTGCGTTTTTTTTGTAGTGTGGGCGATCGTTCAGCCCCAACTTCCTGTTCTTGTGGCCTAATGCAAGAGTTGCTCTTGTGGATTCAAGGCATTTCTCCACAGTCCCACAGGCTGGGGACAGTGACTGTGCAGGAGATGAATTGGAGCTAAAACAGCTGAAAGAAAAGTAAGGACGTGAACTGTAAGCACTTGCAGTTACACTGGGATTTAATCAGTTAAATTCCCTACTTTTGTTCATCTTGCAACAACATATCCCAAACAAATAAAGCAAACCTGAATCTACCGAAAAATATTTTAAATTTCTATGTAATTCCATGTCTGCACTTGAGATCTTCTTAAGGAATCACAAATGTTTGACTTAAAAACCCCAAACCACCCCGAACCACACAAGCCCAGATCAAGATATTCTGCTGTATATTAAACAGTGGTGTTCATCGGCGTGCGGAGGATGGTCTGCGCCACGGAATGACGGAAATGGAGAAGGTTCAGATCTGTTAGGTGTTTGCTGGATTCTGATTCATTTCAGCGGTAGTGCTGCACACTCACTGGAGACTGAACGACATGCCTTTTTCATCTGTGATTCGGATTTACTGGGCTGATGTATTTTAGGATATTTTTGTGCTCTTGAAGCTTGTTGAATAGTCTGTCTTTTCCAGGCTAGAGGAAGAAAGCAGCGCATTTTACTCCTCTGCCAGACTGTGGGACGATGGCATAATTCTACCTCAGAATACCAGAAAGGTAGGGCTTTTCCTGTTTTGGTCTCCGATCTGAACAGGATCTTGCGGGGAACCCGTAAGCCTGTGACTCGCTCAAGGTCAGCAGCACGCTGATTCCCAGCACCGGGTCTCCCCTTCTCACGCCGCTGTCTGTAGCGTTTAACTTTGCAGTTCTCGTCTTTTTCTCTTCCCCGTTGTCTCTCCAGGAAGTTCTGTTGAATTCTGGTTGCGTTCTGGTGATTTAACTACAGCGTTTCCTCACTGAACCTCTTAATGGACTTTACCATTTGATTCTGTATCCAAATTATTCATTTTTGGTCTCGCATAATCACCCCATCTTCACTCTTTTCACAGAATCACAGAATAGTAGGGGTTGGAAGGGACCTCTGTGGGTCATCTAGTCCAACCCCCGTGCCGAAGCAGGGTCACCTACAGCAGGCTGCACAGGATCTTGTCCAGGCGGGTCTTGAATATCTCCAGAGAAGGAGACTCCACAACCTCCCTGGGCAGCCTGGGCCAGGGCTCCGTCACCCTCAGAGGGAAGAAGTTCTTCCTCATGTTCAGACGGAACTTCCTGTGCCTCAGTTTGTGCCCATTGTCCCTTGTCCTGTCACTGGGCACCACTGAAAAGAGCTTGGCCCCATCCTCCTGACACCCACCCTTCAGATATTTGTAGGCATTTATAAGGTCCCCTCGCAGCCTTCTCTTCTTCAGGCTGAACAAGCCCAGTTCCCTCAGCCTCTCCTCGTAGGGGAGATGCTCCTGTCCCCTCATCATCCTCGTAGCCCTCCACTGGACTCTCTCCAGTAGCTCTTCATCTTTCTTGAACTGGGGAGCCCAATTTTAAGTTCAGGCTCATCACTGTTCACACTGCTTCTATTTTTTTGTCCTAGGATGTTTCTTTTTGCTACTTTCTGCCTGTGATTTCCTCTGTAGCTTGGGGATGCCCCACCCCGCTGCCTTTTTATTTATTTTTGAAGTTGGCAGGCATCCACTCCCTGAGGTTCTTTCTGAAGCTGCTGCCTTTGTTCTTCTATTTTTCCTTCTTGTTTTGTTTATTAGCAATACTTAAAATGTCCTGTGCACTTCTGAAGCTTGTTTACGTAAAGATCACAAATACAGCCGCCTAAACATGGTACATATTCATGGTGCTACGTAGATGTGAAGTATTTTCTGTGGAGTTTACGGGGCCTTTGATAATGGGAGAGCACCGAGAGGTATTTTCCAGTACTGGAGCCTCGAGACTACCTCTCCGTAGGAACTACGTGTGAAAAGATAATACGTGAGAGTTGAAATGAATTGTTACTCTCAGGTAGTTTTCACCAGCACACCACAAGTCACGTTAGCACGTATCGCTGGCTTTTACAATATTGTTTTGCTACTTTATCCTGGTTGTTGCTGATAGGTGGAATTTATGTTTAGCTGTGTCTGAACTGACAGCGTGTGCTCGTTCAGATACTTTATGTGGGTTTTTTTCAATAGGCTTTTAACAGACAGCGTGTGCTCCAGCAGCAGTGGATGCACAGGGAAGTTAGGACAATGCTTGCCAAGACTCTTGATTTCCAACAAGACACTCACAAGGTTTTGGCAAAAGAGACGATGACATGCACCCTGTGATAATTCTCCATGAAGATTTTTGTTACCTTTTATCTTGTTTCTAAAGATAAAAGACTGTGTTTTCAGTCCCTGTTGTCACAAGACACTGAGAAAGATGACTTCTTAGAAAGGGATGGGTGGGGAAGAGCGAGGTGTTCTGCTGATTTTCGATAGGTGATTGGGAATCTCAGGAGCACAGCTGTGTCATAACAGAAACAGATTCTCAGATAACATATTTTCATTGGCGGTTTACAGCAAAATAACTTCCCCGTGTTCCAAAAGCCATTCTCTTGTCACCACCATGACTTCACAACGGTGTGGTGGTCTCCGTGTGCAGCGTGTGAGCGTTGGGACCCTGAGGACGTTTCTTCCTTTCCCCCTCCCCTGCTGGGGGGGTGCGTAACACTGACGTCTGTCCCCTCTAACGCTACAGCCGACCAGGGTTCAGTTTAATTCTTCATTGTTTTGCAAAAAGTAAGAGCAAAATTACTGAATGAGTGCATCACTAGTAAGTTGCACTGATTTTTTTGTGTCAGAGGCCCGTTTCTTACACTGTCTTTTGTTTGTAATTAGGTGATTGCACAGTGCTTGGAGATCATAGAGCAGCAGAAGTACCAGGCCGTGTCTCCGTGTCGGTATCCCGTCATCAGAATGTGACTGCAGCAGCCACTGGGAAATAATCAGCCTCTCAAAGTTCGCACCACCTACCAGAAATCTTTAATGTGAATGATTTTTCTAATTCTTTGATATCATTAATAAAATGTTAAACCGTTGCAGACAAGCAAGAATCCTGCATTTTAAGTCTATTAGCAGCAAGTTTGTATTTTGAACCATAGCATCTTACTACAGGAGTTGAAAATTTATGTTGTGAAAAGGAAGGATTAAGCTGAGAGTCTATAGCACTCTAAGGAAGCAAATTTGTCCCAGGCTGTAACAACGGCTTGGGGTTTTTTAATTTCATGTTTTAGTATGAAACCCAGAACTCAAGAAACTGCACTTTGACGAAAGAAACAGGAAAGAGAAAACACAGAAGCGAGTGTGTGTGGTCTGCAGCCTTGGTAAAGGGCAGAATACTGCCTGCCACGCAGCCTTGGGCCGGCCAGTGTGGATTGCCACGGCAGCTGGTGGGGAAAGGCGCTGCTCCCAGGATACTAAAGGGGAGGGCAGAAGGTGCTGTAAATACATACGACTTCAGCAGAGGCTGAAAATTACCTCTTCTCAAGGCAGGTAGCAGAGCCCAGAGACTGCTGCAGCTGATGTTACCGTGTGTACAGGTACTGAGTTTACACTCTGCTGTTTTGTGCGTCTCTGACTCTGCTGGAGCGGCAAAGTTTAATTTTGTGAAAAAAAAAAACCCCTCCCCGCCACCCCCAACTTGTGGTGTTTTAACTGCGTAGTTCTTCGTACCCTGATCTGGAAATCCTGCCAAAAGGTGTTTTTGAAAACTACCTGGTTACACATTTTGAAGAACCATCAACCAAACCGAGCTGCTCGCTCTTAATTAAGTAGCCACACAAATGAACGGTGATGTTGAAGGCCTTTAGGTCGTTCCAGTGCCTGTGAAGAGTCTGCGCCTTTCCGGAGCCGGCAGAGCCCTGAGGCGACGTGCCGCAGGCAGCGGTCACGCGCGCTTGAAGAGCCCGTGGAACGTCACGGGAATGTTCACCTCCACCTCGGCCCTGGCGACCTCGCTCATGTCCTTGGCGTTGAGGATGAGGAGGAAGGCGGGCTTCGGCCCGGCGCCCGGGTTGATCACGATGCTCAGCACAACCCCTGCCA